AGTGTGTTTGTTAATCTGGAGGACTGTCATGTCGCCAATTTACAGCTGAGCTTTTCTTCCCTTAAAAAATAAAAAAAACAAAACAATTTGGTGACAAATGTAGCCACTTTGTGTACAATCCTTGGTTAGGAGATAGGCATTCAGTAGACAGGTGTGAGGAGTTACAAAACAAACTTACTGTGTGATTATTTTACATGTAAACGTGGCTTAAAATGACAGCACGGCCACCGTCTGTGCTTCATGACCAACATTATTAAAATATCACCCAGCCTGAAAGCTAAGCGAGGGATTCAAAAGCCTACGCGTCTCGTTTTCCTATCAGCATCAAAAAATTTGACTGATTACCTGATAAACTTAGATAAGGTTCCAGTTTAGAAATGTCATCTTAAAATCAGAAAACATCTGGAACTTTAAGAGACCATGTGAACACACTCACGCTCTTAGGCTTTAAGGTCATTACTGTAGATGAAATTCACTTTACAACACAAACCTGCTTTATTGTGATGGCTGGTCTCCAGTCCTTGTCCTCCTCTAGTATCGATAGGCAAACTGTGCCTGATGGATACACGTTTGGATGGAAGAGTGGAGGCTCAAATTTACCTGAAAGATGGCAAAATGTTAAGTGGGCTTTATGTTTCAGGTATATTATACATACCAAACAAAAGGGGTTAGACTACTAAAGTCACTGCGTGCCCAGACTGAACTGTTCCACTGAAGACAGCAGCGTCTGTTGTTTACACAAACAGTGCCTTTAGGTCATTTTAATTTGACATTCAGACAACGTGGAGCTCGTGCTGCAGGATTAGAGCCGGTGTAAGCCACGGTGCTCTGGCCTTGTGTGGCAGGTAAGTACGGTAGTGTTTTGAGACACACAACAGGAATCTGCTACTTGTTTGTAAGCAGTTTTTTACCATCAATTTACAACAATATCAGGTCTAAAAATCAATCAACTGGCAAAAATCTTGCACAACCCGTTTAAAAGGAACAGCAAATGACGCATGCATGAAAGCATCTATTGGCCGTGACCCTGAATTAACACCAAAATTGCAGCAACATTGTTATATCGCCAAGCTTCCTCAGCTCCAACATGCTTGCTGCACTACTTAAATGGCTTTAATAGCGCTGCCAAATTAAAATAATTAGAAGAGAAAGTCTGTATTTGCTCTGCTGCGTAAAGGTCAAGCAAAGGTTATTCTGGAGTTTTTCCTAAAGAGCAGAATTTTTCATGTAACCCAAAGAGATTAATCACAGCCACTGGAATAAAGACACTTTAACCAGTTTCCACTGCTGTTTATATAATAACAACAAAAACATGAAGCTGCTTAGATTTCTATCATTAAAGTTGAAAACTCGACATTTGTAATTATCCCACAAAGACCAGAAAACAGTCATGTATTCAACCAATCACAGCCGAGGTGTCGAACATCCCCAGCACTGCTAAGCTTCAGTTTGACAGCTTAAACACAGGTTTCCAAAGGATTACTGCACTAACCTTAAATTAAAACCTTTGGCTTTAAATCAGCCTCTTTCTCATTACCATAATAAACTAACATGTCTGAAGAGATTCATCATTCAGTGCTGCCAAATGTTGATGAGAGGAAGCCTTAATTAGCTTTTAAAGACAGTTTACAGATGTGCCGAGTAGGCTGGAGGATGCCCATGAGCCTGCACTTTTCTGTTCCATTTCAAACCATCAAAACTTAAAAAAATAAATAATTAACTTGATCTGACTGTAGATAAACATAACCAAGTTTGTACTGGCATACAAATTGTATCTGATAATGCTAAAGGCTCTTGAAAATATGGGAACTCTACTATGCTCCAGGTTTTACTTCCAAATAGATTTCCCAAAGCATCTGCAGGCCAAAATGATAGCTAGTGTATTTGTCATATTTACAGGCTGAATGCACAGCAACTCACATTTTGGAGGTGAAGACGGATAGTCGTCCTTGAACAACATGCGCAGCTTGAACAGGCCTCCTTCCCACGGAGTCTGAGGAGAGACGATCATTAGATCAATTTAGAAACAGAAGGCTACATCACTGACTCTTAAAAGTTACTACTACTACTACTACTACTGCCAGTCAAACTGTAAAATTATTTTTTAAAACTTATCATGGTTCAATTTGTTTTGGGTTGTTTTTGCAGAGCAATTACTCATACAGTATGCTTTACATCCACTACAGTATTCTCATTGTCCTAGAAAGACCATTGAGTCTTTTTTAATTATGTAAAACAAATCTACTCGGCATGCAAACAAATCTATGAAACACATTACCCCCTTTTTGCCAGGAATAGCACATTCCCAATTCATGAGATTCATGGTTCCATCCGGGTTTTTTGTCGGTACCGCAACAAATCCCTGGGAAGAGTAAGAGTTGAAATTTGAAAGTTTGTTAGAAAGCAAACACTTTCTAACCAACACTCAGGCAGGCTTTCATCGCACGGATCTCGTGAGCCAATACTTACAAAAGGATGGTCCTTCCGCCATGCCTTGCGCTCCTGGGCAAGCCGGCTCAATGCAATGCCTGACATGATTTGTGGACTCCTGCAAAGAAAGAGGGTCAGGTTGATTAGAAACCCAAACATCTGGCTGTCCTGTCTTCTGAAACGAATAGCTCTTTAGCTTTCCTTTGTTTTAAAGATAATAACAATAATAAAAAAGAAACAATTTCCTTAGTATTCTAATTCGACATGTTTAAAGTTTTAGGCAGCTAGTCGAAACAATTTAACCTAAATCATACTCTAGAATGACCATTAGCTGCAGCTAAATTTTGAAAAACTGAAAGTTTCCATACTGTAAAGAAACCAAGAGGGCATCCAGTGTTATTACAGAGCATCAGTAGTTCAGGTCCTTTTCCAACTGGTTTAAGTTATGAGCCCCCTCCCTACCCTACTCCAAAAAAACAAAGTATTGTGATATTAACATTTCTCGTGTGTGAAATCACACGGACACGACGTACAACATTCAACCTGTTTATGGCGCATATTAATTTTGGTACTTTTCTGACTTGCATCGAGTCACATACCCAACCGTGTTGCCAACTAGCGTCGGTGGCAATTAGGATGCTGCATAGGAATGTCTATAAACGCTAAACACTGAAGCTAATGACAACGAGGTAAAGCAACAAAACAATGCTAGTGATTAAAGACCACCGCAATTTATCAGTACGAGACAAACGGACTTCATCATAAACTGATGTTCTAGTATGCAAGCTAAACTGTTTTTATTGGCCTCGGGGCGTGTGTGTGTGTGTAAAAGTACAGCTTATTTCGACAAGTCTGCGACGCTAAAAGGCTAGCCAAGTTAGCCGGTGGAGATAACCGCTCCAGAGGAAGAAAAAAAAAATTCTACCATTTTCTACCGTTTCCGCGACCAGGGTTTTAAAGCTAAAAAGGGGATCCATGAAGATCTTACTCATTATATGTTTGCTGAACTTCGGCGTGACGTTGCCGTCAACAGACACTTTGACAAACTGACAATCAAAGCTATTTGATTAGCACGCTAGCCGGTTAGCTTCACAAGCTAACTCATGTGCGCCAGAATGGAGCTACATCCCAACAGGCGCTGGCGCTGTTAGCGTCTGACACGGCCTGATGCAGCACAAAACTGCGCAATTGCACTTGATTTCGAAGACAATTTTTGGATGGGAGAAGAACGATCACTTGCTCTCTTCTAACGCATAATAATAGCAACTGCCTTGTAGAAACAGGGGTGTGAGATTTTCCACCGGGATGAACCACATCATTATCTTTTAAAGAATAGGGACAAAGAACGCCAGAGCTAAAATGCGCACATTTATGCATTACCAAACTAGCGAAAATGGCGCAAACTGAAGCGGGTAAAATGTAATAATACACGACAAAAATGAACGTTTCCGCGTTCAGGGTGTACTCCTACCTTTCAGTATGGCTGCACTGGCTCTAGTAATTAAGCGAAATGAATTAATCGTGCTCAAATCCCGTTAAACCTTGTAAAGTTTCCCTCCTGAAAAACCACCCGCTCCGTCTCGAGCCAGAGACAGCGATGCGAAACACTCATCCGTCCTTTACTTCCGTCTTTGCTTAAATACCTCTTGGAAAATCGGACTGCGCATTTCTCTTTCGGGGGTTTAATATTTTGAATGTATTTCTTCACCTGCCCTGGGTTTAGCCGAAAGAGTTTCCCGAACTAGTCGTTTATTAGCTTTCATTTAATTCGAGCAGCCTAGCTGCCGTTGTTAGAGCGCAGTGCGTTAGAAAAACTGTTATTTAAGTTTATGTCGATGGGGAAATTCTACCTTTACGGTTCGTACTCTTCGTTCAAGCGCCGTTTATGTTATCAAAAAAAAATGACAAAGGTTCAAGTGAAAATATGATACATTATTGCAAAGTATAGAAGATTACCTGGGATTTTTTTTTAAACACTTTATAGAAAATACAAATCAAAAATATTTTCTAATTTCATACCCAAGTAAGCCGCGTGGTCTTAAACCCAGACGGATTTCTCTCTTCTGTAATATATAATCTTTGGGTGCCTTAGACTAAAGCCCATTAAACCTACGACTGTCAACGAGATTAAAATATTTTATGCGCAGTTACCAAAGAGTTAAGATGAGCGATACGTCTAAAAGACCAATTTCGGATAATTTAATTTTAGGTATAAACGAAAACTTTTCCCCCCCGTCGTCTATATTTATACAGGCATATTTTTCGACTACTCAACGACAACTATTCCTTTCGTGACTCGACTCAAGAGGTCGCCATTATCACATATTACGATTTGTTGTCGCCACTTTATCCATTCATTGCTATAGTTTGCAAAAGTTTAAGAGCACGGTGCTTTTAATTTATTTATTTATATATATATATATATATATATATATATATATATATATATATATATATATATATATATATATATATATATATATTTTTTTTTTTTTTCTTCTTTTTATTTTTTCCTTTAAATTATAGTAACTTCGAAGAGCCAGAAGATAAATAATAAAAAAAGACAGATATGAATGACAACATTTTATTGGGTTTACCCTATGCAAGACCATATAGATCTATCCCCTTAACCGTCATACTCAGTTTGTATATTTTTAACATTGCATAAGATCATATAGAAGTGATCTATGTAGTGATATGAGAACCTTATTAATGTAACTGTTAAGATCGAGGAAAAATGACACATTCATTCCCTCTGATTACAAGTGTGATCATCATCATCAGTCATGCATTACAGTGATTTGTGGTTTATGACTTGAATGCAAAACAAACTGGGCACTTAAAAGGATCAGGCTACACATTTGATAAGTTTGTCCATCACATAAAAGATTATCCCAGATTCTAAACCAGACAACCTGTCTGAAGGGCATTCAATGTAATGTAGCTGCTCAAGTAGAGGGGCCGTTGAACACTTCTGAACAGAGCATTTTAAATGAGATTACAACCAAACCAAGCAAATCAAACACAAAAACACTAAAAAAAAAAAGGTCTCAAAAGAGACTTGTATAAACCTTAGCTCTTAGCCTACGCAGATACATTTCATCAAATTTAAGAAGAAAGGGGGCGAAAGCAAGATTGTCTGCAACGCTCAAGCACTGGCTGTTAAAAATGGATGGAGTATCTCAACATTTGTCAGCATGTCAGAGTGAATATTAGCTTATGGGGAGTGCTAGTTGCCATTGGTGCGGTCACACAAGTAGGTGTGTGAGGGAGTGCAAGACGGTAAATAATCGGAAGGCTTCAGAATACTATAGCAAATGTAAACATAGCCTAGCTCTGGCAGGAAATCCAGTCTACTCTGATTGAACCTCTTTGCAGATCTCAAATTTTGCACTTTAAAAGCCCTTGTGTGTGTGTGTGTGTGTGTGTGTGTGTGTGTGTGTGTGTATATATTTCTATATTTAAAAACATGCATCCATACTCGTTTCCTCCCGACAATATAAAAACGGTCTTAAGTCGAGTGTATACGTGTGAGTAAATGGAGGTTTGTGTGTCGTTAACAAGTCTATATGTACAAAGTGTGCCAGCATTAAGAAAAGTTACTCATCCCTGACACTAAGATCGATGTGTTCAATACACATAAGACATTGGATTTTGGTCACTGGGAGAAGAGGGGAAAAAAAGGCAACACTAAATGATAACATGTGAATGAAATATCCAACCTATCAAAACCACACATCAAAACCTGAAAACAACTTTCTATTTAAAAAAAAAAAAAAAAAAGTGTTCTAAAAGGCAGTATTTACATTACCAGCATTACAGGCTGTAAGCAGTGTGCACAGTGTTTCCCACTGTAGTGCTTGTAATGCTGTGTATGAAAATCTACACAATTAAAAATAAAAATAACAGCTAAGAAATCTTATCACACTGCAAGAAAAAAAAAAATACATTTTTGTTTTTGTTTTTCTGAAACGTAACAGTCAACTTCATAGCCAGCCAAGTATAGCTTTGTTATTGGTTATCAAAACATGTTCCAGGCATGTTGTCAGTGAAAGACGCCTTACAGAGTATCTTTTTTTTCCTTGTTTAGTTTTTTTTAAACCCCAACTCCGAAATCTCTAGTCCTGTACAAACGATGCAAAAAACAGAAGCCAAGGTTTTCTCGTTTTTTTTGTTTTGTTTTTTTAAAGATCCAGTATAAACAACTTCCACCTGAAGCTGTGTTTTCTATACAGTGTACAAAACGTGCAGTTTTCCTAAGAGTTAAATATTAATATTGAATTTGGATTATTTACATGAAAACAAAATCTTGATATGAACAAAGTCCTTCACCGCTGCCTTCGAACAGTTCCAGTCCCCAAACGCCGCAAATACTTCCCCTCAAAAAAACAAACAAACCCAAAACAAAAAAATGAAACAAAACCCAAAACCAAAAAAAAAAAAAAAAAAAAAAAAAAAAACAACCCTTAAAAAACGATCTCAAACGATGTTCCCTCAAACATATGAAATAAACGATCTAAGGATAACTCAGACAACAGCGGGGAAGGGGGAGTCACCATTGTCCTGAGGACTTTACCAGTTAACTTTAGATTTATGAACATGAGGTCTCAAATAGTTTAAAACTTCAGACATTTCTAAGAAAATTCTAATTAATGCAAACTTACGCTTAAGAGCCTTTCAAAGTCTTTATATTACTACAGGTCCACATTAACAGAAAACAGAGCAACTGTAATCACTCTTAATCTTTAAAAAGGCAAGAGGACTTCCTGAATGTATAATAACTTAAATAAAAAATAAATAAATAAAAACAAAAAAAGGGGGACAGTTCAGCTTAAAAATCAAATGATACATCCAAAACTGTTCCACAGTCTGAGATACATCAAGTCTGCAACCTCTTGAATATAATTATAACTAAATGGAACTCATGACGTGGTACTCAGAAATAGAAGTCAGCGTTAATGCGACTCGGGTATTAAAAAATTTAAAACTTTTTTTTTTTAAAAATTACACAAACCATGTTTTTTGCAGGAACTATTTTCTTTGACTGAACTACATCCGCCAGCTGGAGGAAGTGTGTGCCTATCCATCATGTAAGGCTGTGACAGGACGTAAACAACTGTGTTTGCCTCTGCTCACCCATAATGTCAACTAGCCACATGATTTCTAAACCTGCTCACAATTTCAGTGGATTTTTTGGAGCAATGATTAAAAAAAAAGGAAAAAAAAAAAAAAAGGAAAAAAAAAAGTTTTTGGGCACTGTGAGAACCAGAAGGCAACTAGCATCTAGAGCCCGACCAATAGTTAAAAAAACTAAATCAAAAAAATATATCAACATTTCAATTAATCAGACAATTTGTTTCCCCTTTCAGATCCATGAAACTTATGCAATCACTCTTACGCTCAAATCAGCTGGTTGCAGCTATGTTGCCTCCAGCGAAGTTGCAGTGCCCTCTGGTGGACAAAGTATGCAACATCAAAACTGCTAACATGGCTGAAGGGTGCTTCTCTGGTCTCTTCTTTAATTTTCAGGTATTAGTTGTCATAAATGCAGATATATCTGTCAGACTCACGCTACATATAGTTCTATTAAATTCATGGGAATATTTGGATTATTTTAAACTCCCTAGAAAAGCAAACTATATAAACTAAAAGCAGTAGAGGGTCAGAGTTCAAATATGAATAGTTGACTTTCAAGCAAAGAGTCAATTTGACCTAACAGCACAAAAAAAAAAAAAAAAAAAAAAAAAAAGCACCTCAATCTAACTGGGTTACTAAAGATGGAAGCTACAGTACACTAGTAGTATACTTTTACCTGAAGTATATATTTTTATAAAGTATATTGCTTTGCAACATGTTTATTATAGGTCATTTCCTACCTCTGATTACCTAATGCCCCCTTATCTACAGTCAAGATTTCTTGTACTCTAAGGTGATCATTCCTTTTTTTTTTTTTTTTTTTTTTTTTTTAAATTACTACTGGGAAATTTAAAAGAAAAAAAAAAGTGCATTTGAGGTCCTCATGATCACAAATCTCAGTGAAACTGAAGTCTTTGGGTAAACATTTTTAACCAGTTTGCTTTTGGGCTCAATTTTATGTTATTAGCCTGACTCACAGCCGTTGAGCAAATACAACAATTCCCTTCTTTAAAATCTCTGAAACAATGATTTTTGTGTTTGATACTCGGAGTTATAAAGACCATACTGATCCCTTACCAGACCCTTGAGTTGGAGGATATAAGAATTAACTCAACAGATGACCCTGAGTGAATCGTTGGCCTTATATGATGGCGGCCATTTGTTATAGCATAAAACATTTGTAGATTACAATTCTTTACTTTCAGTTAGAAACAAAAAAAAACTTGCCGCTAATTTAATAAAAAGGTCCAGTTTAAATGTACAGGCACAAATTGTCAGTAAACAGACTTATTTACATCAAAAAACTTAAAAAAAAAAAAAAAAAAAGAAAGAAATTGGAGGGAAAACAAAATAAATGCACACCCCACTTTAAATCTCCATTGTGCCACACGTTCTTCCACATAGATGATATGTTTGCATCATAACACCTGGAGCTCATAATACTGAGTCCTTCTCACATCCGGGAACCCCTTTCCTGAAGAATCTGCAAAGACAGAAACATTAGATAATCAGCAAAAATGCTCAACACTACACAATCTGCAGCAGTTCAGTCACTTTTAGTGTCCCCCAGCACCGATCTACCTCTTTATTAATGTCACAGTGTCTGTCACACTTAAAGCACAAGATGGTTGAAACAAACACACCGATTAGGGTGCAAAGAAAAAGGAAACGCTTGCACGAGTAAAAGTAGTAAAGAGTCTTTATCTTCTACTTTCAAGTCTTCTCACTCATTCTGGTTTTAAATTTTTTTGACATTAACCACTTCCATCCCCCTATTTCCCCCCTTTTTCTGTTAATGTAACAACCCCACAACACTAGAAAAGCAGCAGTTGCTCAAAATGTTAATTGTAAATGATAGGGTCGGCCTCAGAAAGACTTTGGGCTTCTGTAGAATAATGTCACTGTATCGAATGAAGCCACAGTTTTCCTTTCATACTGTGAGACTTTTCAGAGACCCTAAGAGATTTGTGATCTGTGACACATGCTCATACTTTGAGGATTTTAAGGATTTCTTCAAGACCTAAAGAACACATGTAAACACCCGTGTTTTTAAAACGAAGAATCTCTGACATTTCCTTCAGTGAATTTTGAGAAAATGGACTAAACATCGAGGGTACCTCATTTACTGTTGATGCAGTAATATCCTGTGATATTGATGCCCAAAGTTGGTCAGAGAAAAACTAATGCTGAGCAAAAATGAGATTTTGGCTTGAAACTGTGACACCATGAGTGGGAGTGAAGTTGATTTTTCAAGTTTTTTAAGAGCTTAAATGTGTTTCAGCTCTGATTTCACGCGGCTATCGACTGAGCTGTATTAGAACGGTTACGAGGGCTCAAAAATACTGTGAAAATACAGGAAATTAAAAAGTGTAAAACGTCAACCTTCTTTTACATATTTTGAACTGTATTTTTTTTAACATTTTACAAAATTTTAAAAAAGGTTAAAAAAAAAATGTACATCCTTTTTAAAATATATTAAAGTTTAAAAAAAGTGCTGATTTTGACAGGCAGGTGGGAACTTTTTCCCTCCTAATTTCAGAGGACAGATCAAACCTTTGAGTCATTTCTCCTGAGTTAAAATTTATGTAATTCAATGTGAGGCACATTAAGAAGAAAATACCTGCTGTTCAACTGGTTTCATTTCTTAAGTATTTTGGGAAGAAAATATATTTTGCAAGGACAAATCATTACTGGAATTATTTCCTTGTGAAATGTGATTTTTACTTTTCTTTTGATGCATAAAAATGTGCCAGTAATATCGAAATTCCCACCTTTAATTATTAAAAACCAGCATAGCACAGACACACGAGTGGTCTGACTTAAAAACAAATAAAACCATTGTAACCTACAGCTATTTATGACAAAGAAAGGGCAGAGGGTGCACACCAGCCCACCCATCTCTTTCAATGTCATTCTCAGGGAGAATGAGTCAAAATGCAGCAGTTGATGATTCAGCATTAACCAATGCTGTGAGCATGTCAATAATTACAGGGGTCTGAAACCAGATGGGAAGAGCTCCATTTGTTTCAAAGAGAGCTTCACCTGCAATAAAGTCTCCTGCCTCAGCAGGAGCAGTGAGGCTTTTGATCCAGCTTTGGCCTGCAGACTCCAATGTCCAAAGCTGATTTGTAACCTTGATTCTATCATTGGACTTTTGTCTCTTATAAGAGCTCAGCTCTCGCCGTCTTTGAAAACAAATGTGAAACATTTTGAGGAGCGTTAAAAAGGCATCTTGGAAAAAGGGAGGAAGGAAAAACTAAGGAGGTGTGCTGGGAAGGACTACGAGCAGTTGAGCGCTCACCAGTGAGTCATAAGTGCTCAACCCTAATCAGAGTCATTCATTTCATAATCCGTCTCTTCGTCCTCGCTCTGAGCAACATGCAGCATGCAGACAGCACAGAAGAAGACAAGAAAGGCATGTTGTAAAAGAAATGAAAATGAATGAAGGTGAAAAAGGAGAACAAGGTGAAAAGTAAAACTAACAACGGATCAAAGGGGATTATCATTAAATCAACAATGTGAAGTGCGTCAGAGTGACACAAAAACATAATCCAAGGACACCTTCCCAACCAAGGTCAGTTCCCTTGTTTTGGATGTTAAATCTAGATATTATGTCCCAAACAAAAAAATAGCTACATAACAAAATGGACTGAGAAATAATGAACAGAATATAAAACCAGTAATAAGATCTTGATTTGGATAGGATGCCCCTGGAGAGACTAAATGAATAGAGCACAGTAAAATCTCTACAGTCTACATTTGCTTCAAATATGCTCTGACAGCCTCTAATCTCTTTAATAATCAGGAAAATAAAACCATAAATACAGGCGTAACAATATTAGTCTTCATGTGCTGCTTCCTCTAAGGAGTGGGCCACTATTACCCCAATTAAAAATAATAATAATAATAAAAAAAGAAAATTTAAAAGACACTTTGCCAGTAGCAGCACAAACCTGTGCCATCTTAATGCCCAGAGCTGGATTACACAGTTCAGACTTCAGGTCAAATTTAACAGAAATTTCAACAGCAGGTTAAATTTAGTTTGTCTACGTGATGTGAAGACAAAGTTCTGCTTATGCCTCAACTGAAATAATTACTCTCTGTAATATTTTTCCATTATTAGTTCTTTTTCTACGGTTGCTTGTGGTTTTTCTGTTCGTCAATTTTCTGGTTAGTCAACAAAATAAAAAAAAAAGCAGCACAATGCATTCCTTTACAGGGAGTTTTCATCAAGAAAGTAGTAGATGTGCTCTCAGCTCCCTGGAGGAATGTACATGCATCCAGCACAGGCCATCTTTCACCGATGTTTGCTATGGACTCATAACAAGTCCTTTCACGCACTTACCTTAGCCTTCTCACTGGGCTCACTGTTTGTCCCGTATGATTGATTGTGCAACTCCTTGGAGACTACACACAGGAACTCAGCTTGGTCTTCGTTTCCGTAGTTGTAGGAGGAGCCGATGCTGACGAGCTAGAGAGATGAGAGCAGAGCAAAGACGAAGAATTAGAATTAGACTGATAAAAGGCAAAAATCTGGGTTACTCGTGGTGGGAAAACACAAGGAGGGATACCTTATACTAATGTAAAACAGGTGGAAAACCAAACAGGGAGCACAGAGAGTCCTTAAATTTAAGCTGCCTCAGTTCTTAGTAAAACCCTAAAGCCTAACCCGGAGTTAGTTACATCACATTTAGCGCCTTTACTAGGTAGACAGCAATGTAGGACAGGCTTGGGAGTGACACAACAGATCCGTGGTCAGATTTAATCTCAATATGGCAAAGCTGCACAATTATATGGTGCACTGAGGGCAACAGGGTGTGCCATTTCAAATGTTAAAGCTAGCCATTTTGAAAAAGGCTACACTGAAAATCTGAGAGTTGTTATAAAAAAATATTTAAAAAGAATTCGTGATCTCAGGACCCGCAGACATGCCAGCACTGATTTCAACATAAAACATGGGAAAGCTCAAAGGAAACTAAAGAAAATATAATCTGTGGTTCACAAATTAAGACTGTAGAAATTAAAAAAAAAACAAAGAAAAGGATGAACAGCAGATAGTTACTGACAGAATACGAGTGCAAGGGACGGATCACAGGAAGCAACATGCTGATTGAGGGTGAAAAAATGAATAAATAAATTTAAAATAAAAATCACTGGGGAATGGTGGACTGACAGGACCAGGCTTAGCATCTCCTACAAAGAGAAAACCGCAGACTCACTTCCATCCAACAATTCAGATCCATTTTAAAGCTCTTTGACACAAGATTTGACCCTTTCCCCATTGAGCGTTTCTATAATGCGAATGGCAAATGTTTGGAGTTTTCACTAATGCTGCAATCGTCACACTGTTGCTGTTGTTGGGCTGTACTCTCATTAAAGCAGACCTATTATGCTTTTCTTTTACTTCCATCTTAATAAACATATCAAGCTTCAACTACAAAGGCTCAAGCAAAGGCAACATTGTTAAAAGGGTCATATCAGGCTTAACCGAACCCCATCAAAACCTTCAGTTTGTGAGAGGCAGCCAATCAGAAGAAAGCTGGCTTAAAGGGAGGGTATAAGCAAACATAATGGGTTCACTTTAATGGTTTGTTTTTTGGTCTTGTTTTGTCTCAAGGGCTTACTCAACACTTGATAGTTGAAGTAGGCCAGTACAATTTGAACCAAATGAAAACCTCAACGAAACCACAGCACCTTGGTTTAAGCAAAAGAGCCTACAAATAAAACCTTTCTACAGCAGTCTTAAAAAACATGGCAATAATTTCTGCTCTTTCCCAGTCACATCAGTCTAAACAAAAACCAAAAGGACACAAGGGGACAAATAAAGGAATGACCAAGTGAGATTTAAAAAAAAAACCAAATACATAAAAAATAAAATAAACAACAAAAAGAAGAAACGGCTACTTCTGGATTTGATTTCGTGTTCATCCGCTTTTGCTGTTGAACATTAAGAGTGTGTACTGCAGGCTGCATGTATACAGTCTGTACCCAGGTGTGCATGTTCAGACATGCATCGCCTCATTAGCCCTGCTGCCACAGACTTGTTGTTGTTAGCGAGCTCGCCAACATTAACACAGCAAAAAAAACAAAGCACCCCTCAAATAATCTCAACTAGTTATCTTGGATTCCACTTGGCACACAGCTCAGTGAACCATCAGTTAAACAACAAATTAGATTTATATAATTGGAGCGTGTCCTAGAAGACTCTCCTCGTCTGATGGTGGAGCTTTAAGCTTTGCATTGGGAGTGTTTGTTTTTTTGGAGTTTCCCCATCTGACAGGTATAAGGAGATTAGTGGGTTTTCAGCTCTGATGGGAGAGCCAATGATCCCACATTGCAGAGAGATTCAGTCACACATTACACGGACTCCAAACACCCAAACATGCGGTTTCTCTTTGAAGAAAAAAATAAAAAATTTCAATATTCCATCTGGATTCCCTTGTAATGCTCGACAAAATCAGTTACAAAGAAGATTACCTAAACGGCAGATAAAAGCAACACTGCACTTCTAAACAACCAGTACTAGATTCCAGCGCCCACCTCCCTCAGTTCCTCCAAAAGTGACTACATCAAAGCAAAACAGATAAAGCTGCTGACATACTGAATACAGAACGACAAAAACTAAAGTAAAGCAAAACTAAACAAAACAAGACAAGACAAAAAAGGACAAAAAACAAAAAGGTGTCAGGGTCTCTTAGCCTCACTGGTGAGCAAGCAGTATACATGAAAACGGAAAATTATCAACTGAAAAATTAACCGATGGCTACGTGTCTACTTGGGACAAACAATGGCCAACGGGGTGTGTACGGACAACATGGGGATCATGCAGTGACCAGCCCGTGGACAGAGATTCGTGGGACACACCTCTCCGCTGTTGTTTGGCAAAGCAGACTCCTCTCCCTTCACCTCCCTTGACACAATCAGCAGAAACTCTGACTGGTGGGCCCGCCCGTAACCTATACTGACAAGCTGCAACAACCAATCAGAGCACAGAAGGGATGCCCGGATCATGTATGCGGACATTGAGAAAGATGTGATTTGCTGTTTGGCTTTTTTCTTTTCTTTTTTTTTAATCATTTATTTATTTATATATTTTTAAACCATTTCCAATGTGGACAATTGCCCTTTCTGGGTCAACGTGAGCATAGCGGGGTGGGTGAAGCACATGGAAGGACGATTGTCGCTGGGACACTGTGGGAGATTTACCTGTTCAAACTTCCAGCCGTCAGACATGGTGGACACCATTTGAGTGAGCTCCTCCTCCTGGCACTGCAGCACCCGGTAAACATGCTTTACTGGAACCTGAGAGCAAGGATGAGCACATAATGTATTCATTTTTTTAAAAAGGCGGGCATTACAATTATTGAGAAATCCATTGAAACGTCACATAAATCCATGTACCTGTGATGTTTTGCAATCGCGTTCCCTGATCTTGTCCTTGATGAGCTTTATTAATGATGTGATGTTGTAGAATTCGGCTTCTTCTAAAACTCCTAAAACAAGAAATAAGGCAAAGGATCTCAGACAGACATTCTACTGGACAACAAACACTCCAAAGCATCCTTTGAAGCAAACCAGCAAAGGAAAATGTTTGTGCCTTAGCTCTACAACCAGCACATCTCAAAAAGTGCAACTTTTACTTTGACAGCAAATATTCAGTTTCCACTTTACTTTTTCCAAGCTTCACAACTGCTTGGCGACAAGTTTGCCAGTGTTTGCAGACAAGTCAGCATCTTCCAAACTAGGAGCAGTCGAGGCAGTGTGCCATTATCTAAAGCAATCACAAGGTTTTCAGCATAGCACAAAATATTTATTTGCGATCAGCTACACCTAGTGAGTGCTGCAATGCAAAAACAAATATTTGGGAGACAAACAGGCAACGACTAATGAAGCTTTTGCAAGTTTACTAATTGAAACCTTATAAATCTTGTTATCCAAATGCTCTCTTTGGGTCATCTTCATGTGCTGAACATTGAGTGAGTTTGGGTTTTTACAAGAGGGGCAAAAGTGCACCACTGTAATCACTTTCTAAGGGAATTATTATCCCAAAATTAGCCTTACATATAGTAATTCCCATGGGGTGCTTTGCGTAATGATCATCACTATTGTTTAAAATATTTGGCACGAGTTTGATTAAATTGAAGCATTCCTTCATGTTCCACAGAGACATTACCTTCCTCTGCCAAGTCCCTGTTGAGCACCAGTTTGCCATGCCTTAAGTAGTTAAGCACTGGCCCGAAGTACGTGGGGTCTCTGTCTATGAGATAGGCACCAGTTTCATCCTGCAAAAAAATCAAAGAGACAAAAAGGTACAGTTATTAGAAAAAACAGAAACTGCAATCATTGTTTTGTATTTTTTTAAAAATCCAAACAAGCATTTTAGGTAAATTTAGGATTGTTTTAATATATTTAAAAACTCTCCCATAGATATGACACAACTTCATTAAATGACATTTGTCCATTGAAAGGATTTTTTGTTTTTCATGAGCCAGTGTGTACTTTCAAGTGAAACATAATCTGAGCACAAACAACACCCACTGCACATCAGTGAACAAAACTCATGGGATGAGATTGTAAACACTCCTGCGTTTACAATCGCCACATTGGTTGAGAAGACATGCACACACAGAGCCACACATACAAGCACTCTGGGATATCACTGTGCTATTCCCACAGGCCTTGGGTTTGATCCCGATTCCTTCACAACCACTGGGTATTCCCCTATTTCTGTGATTAGACTGTCTTCGTCTCATGAGGGAAGAAGCGGCTAAAACAATTAGAGCAGAACAGAAAAAGATTTGGAACAGCAGGGCTAACCCACCACAGGGACCAGGAGAAAGCACCTTGGCTTAAAACCAGAAATTAGCCTAGTCTGGGCCGTTACACAGTTGGCCTCACACATAATATAAAAGACAGTCTGTACAGCTGTCCAATAGCCAGACTGAATCTACAAGCTGTTCAATACAATGCCATATTTAGTGAGTAAAATGTGCTGTAACATTCAATGAAATACTCAGCACAGAGGAAAGGCCTTGAGCATATTTTGAGCTCATCTTCAAACGCTTCTGAGACACAGTTGCTCATGTGTCTTCAGGGGACAATCCTAGCAAATTACTGGTTTATGCTGCTTCTGACATTATTTGCCCAAGAACACACCGGCAATAAGTCATAAATTTCAGGACACTACATGAATCAGAGATAGTTCATCGTGCAGAGAGGAATTCATTTTGTAACCCATTAATATTTTCAATAATGAGAAAATGTCCCAGTGCAGTTTCTTTTGTAATGAATCTTTAAGCCCTCTTGGCTGGATGACCCCTTTTCCATGGCAAAAAATACTCCACCACAGCCCAGTGGAGCTCTATTCTGGTCTCAGTGCTCCGTGTCAGATTCTTACAAGTCCACAGTCACTGATTAAGCACGTATAGAGGTACGCCTTTATGGAGGACGCAACTCATCACAGCCATCCACATAACTCTGTACGCGATGGTTTGGCTTTCATAGTGAAGCTTAAGCTCCATCTATCTATTCAGTTGCACAAATGTCCCACTGCAGATCTTCATTGGAGTTTCATAGAAATAACAACGACAACAAAAAAAACATATGTTTTTCCACTTTCTCCTTCAGATTATCATTGCTATTCTGCAAAAGGAAAAAAAGTGATAAAAACACCTTCAACCTGTTCTTTTAAGTTGTGCATCACTCAAGCTTGAAACGCAGTTTAAGATCAGTCAGAAATGACAGGAAAGTATAATGTCAGTCTTTGTCTAAACTACATGCAAACACCCCCAATTTGCCAAGAAAACCTTTTACTACAATGGTTCACTGTTAAATTTAAAAGGGGAAACTATGGTTCAGCGTGTGGGTGCGTGGGTAGCTACAGACGACCGCCTACCAGAGGCAGCGAGTTGGTTGTCAGATGGGGACAGTGACAAAAATATGTAGTACAACCGGTTTGTGAGCCAAACCGTGGAGAAGAGCAAAGTTATAGACATACACAAAGCTCCAGTGAAACCAAGTGTTTAAAAAAACAAAACAAAAAACACACAACAACAACAACAACAAAACCCAGCAGCCACTCTTTGTAACTTTCATACTTAAAATTTTTTTTATCTTTTCATTAAAATTATCTTTTGATTTCCCCACCGTTTTCTTCTCACTTCTTTCATTTCTGGTGAACTCCTTTCCTGTTGTGACCCACTCACCAATTAGCACTCAATGAAAGCACAGTATCTCGAGGTCTTGTTCGCGAGTGATGGGAGAAGGGAGCTGGAGATTGACAGATGGATTGGTGCTGCGGCCGCAGTGGTGCAGACGCTGCACCGGTCCGTCGTGGTGAAGAGGGAGCTGAGTGTAAAAGCGAAGCTCTCAATTTACGGGTCGATCTACGTCCCTACCCTCACATATGGCCACGAGCTGTGGGTAGTGACCGAAAGAACGAGATCGCGGATACAAGCGGCGGAAATGAGCTGGCCTCTCCCTTAGAGATAGGGTGAGAAGCTAATCCATCCGGGAGGGGCTCAGAGTAGAGCCGCTGCTCCTCCACATATAAAGGAGCCAGCTGAGGTGGTTCGGGCATCTGACAAGGATGCCTCCTGGGCGCGGTGTTCCGGGCATGTCCCACGGTTAGGAGGAGGCCCCGGGGCAGGCCCAGGACACGCTGGAGAGATTATATCTCTCGGCTGGCCTGGGAACGCCTTGGTGTTCCCCCAGATAAGCTGGAGGTGGTGGCTGGGGAGAGGGAGGTCTGGGCTTCTCTGCTTAGGCTGCTGCCCCCGCGACCTGGCCCTGGATGAAGTGGAAGAAGATGGATGGATGGATGAAAGCACAGTATAACCCACATTGACCAACGTTCGGATTTTGCAGGAATGCAAAGGAGCATGTTTTCATTGGTTGAAAACCTCTCTCTGTAGGCTCTTCATAGGAAAATTAGCCCAGTTTCATATCACATTGTTCCCAATAATACTGGTATAAAGTTTTAGGGGATATAAAAACATCACTATGTCATTGTTATAGCAATGCCATGTATTTATGCTCACCAGTGCACGCAACAACAAGAAAAGCCTGGGTATGTCAGAGAACCGCAAGAGCTGCCATGTCAGCCTTCAAGCATGATTTAGTATATCATCCTATAAAGCAGAACACTCTGCAAAACGTGCATGAAAACTGTTCATGCTGAAGGCAGAAAAAACAAACTTGAGGCAAAAGACACACCGTTTAGTATAAATCAGGCTATGATAGAGGAGATGCTAGCAGGTGGTGATGCACAAACCCATGATACAAATTCCCAGGTAGAAAACATTGTTCAGTTTTATTGTGCAGCTCCCGAAGAGTTAAAATACTTTAGTTACTACTAAACGAAAAAATAAACTTGTTTGTTTGTTTGTACGGACATACTGCAACTCAATTTCCCATTAGGGACAATAAAGTTACCATTGACATTGACCATTAAACGATATTTTAGGCAATTCTTTTATGCTTGTAGTTAAAATTTAGAGGCTCATTTTGTGCTTATATTTGATGTATGCTGCCACTGGATATAATGTGTCCAACAATGTTACATGATAATGCTGCTGCCACCTTAATTTAAATTAGGAAGCTGTCATCAATGACAGCAGCTGACTGGAGATGAAGGATGGAAAATACCCTACATTTACTTACACTTCTAAATGTTGCCGTCTGCAAATGTCTTCAGTTTCCCCCCCCTCCCTTCTATTGTGACATAATATTGAGGCTATATCACCTGCATTCGAATGTGACACATTCGCAATACCATAAGTATAAGCTGCATCTATACAGGAAGTGTTTTACAGAAATGCAGTGACCAGAGACCAAAGAACATCAAAGATATTTAGCGACTTCAAGTGGCTACAGCAGTGACTAAAAGAAAAACAAGAAAAAAAATTATTGGTGACATGAAGCTGGCAGGTCCTAAAAAAAGACCGGAATGTCCGTTAGCGACTCATCGTTAGCTTTCAAGCAGTGAACGATGAGTGAACTGTTTCCTGTGTGGACGCACCTTTGTTAGAGCCACAAAAGTGTTTCAACATTTATGATTTAACTGAGCTGTTTTTTCCTTTTTCTTTCCCATCCACAATCATGCAATTTTTCATGTCAGATCTTTGCAAGCAACAAAACAACTATTCTTGCTTTTTGAACCACACCTGTGGGGTCATTATGTCACAGTAACTACTTTGACTTTTTGTAGTTGGAAAAACTACTGGTTTAACACAGTGACCGGTGCTTTGACCAGCTGCGTACCAGCAGAAAGTGTGCTACCGCTTGCTGAAGACAGAGGAGGAGGAGAGGGGGGGGATGCACGTTTGAAGGGATTAAGAGTGAAGGTAGGAGTGCACAGAACATAGTGGAGACTTTAAATGATGGTTGGTGTGACAGAGAAGGGTTAGATGGAGGTAGATGATCCGCTGTGACAACCGCTAAAGGGAGGAGCTGAAAGAAGACAACTGCAACACTTACGGTCAACTACCATTTCAGTGATTACACCTGTGTTTGACTGGTCAACATGTCGGCACTGAGATGAGGTATATTCAACATTAGTTTCACTTTGACTGCAGTGACTCTATGACAACACATCTCAACAAGAATTTTGGAGAACTGTGTAGAAAATGGGTGAAGAGGGAGATTCACTGCTGCCTACCACAGCCAGGACACTTGCAAAAAAGGGTTATATAAAAAAAACAAAACAAAAAAAATAGTCCAAAAGTTACGGTGTGTGTCATACCACCACCAACACCCACAGCAGGTTGTTTTTGTGAACGTTCACGTGTATGGTACAACTGAACTGAAGAGAGCTGAAAAGCATTATGAAACTACATGTGTGCAGCATCCCCCAGCCCACCCCCCATTCCTCAGATCATCATCACATTACCCAATAAACAAAAAGATGGCTTGGTTCCATTTAGCTGATTTGGTTTCAGGGTTCCTGGTATTGTGTAAATTGGCTCATTGAGTGACTTGAAAAACATGGCTATTGTTTGTGTTATTAGTAACACCTGTGCTCACCTACTATGAAAGTCAACATTATGTTGTATGCACTATACAAATAAGCCTGGTGTTGACACACATACCAAAAGTTATCAGCAGCTTTAACTGAAAAATTGCATACTCCTGAAACACGAGGGCACGAGCATACACTTCTGTAAACTTGCTGCATATTTGTAAGCTCCACTATGAGGCCGCATGAAACCCCTGAGCTCGGTGGGGTTGGCCCTGTGGGTATGCATACATTTATGGGGAGATTGGAGGTGGTCACAGTGACCCGCTTCGTATGGTTAAGGGGGTTCTGATATGAGCCTGTGTGCACAAAGAGGAGCGTGTTTTTAATTAAAAACAAAAGACTGTCTCCGGGGGCCCAGGCTGGGGAGCACTGGGCAACAAACAAAGGGGTGTGGACAGTGAGTGAAACAGAGGACGGCTGCTGCTAGGATGCACAGCAGACGGGCAGAAATGAGAAATCAAGAAGAAAGTTGAAAAAGACGCTGAAATTGCAGAATGAAAAAGTCAAACCTCAATTATACATTCTTGATGTTTCTTCAATTAAATGAAAATGCAAGACCAATAAGGAACCAATTAAACCACATTTAAGAAATATTGAAACCGCATACTTTTTTTTTTCATTATTATTTTTGGTCTGACAATGACCTCAGACAAGTAAACATTTAGGTAAACAAAAGTCAATTAGAAGGGCGGGCTTCACAGAAGAGGGAAGTGTATTGTATGAACCTTATCATTCTTTCTACACACAGTACATATCCTTCAACAGGAAATACCACAGTGACCCAACCCTTCGTACACATGATGCCAAATAAGGTTTTCTGCAGACACATTAACACTGAAAATCAATCCTTCATTCAACTGAAAAAAAATAAATAAATAAAAATTGCAAGTCGCTGCACGTTTGCTTCTGAGAAAAAAAAATTAGGTGTGCGTGAAAACACTGCATCATCACTTCAGGAACAGCAGCGCATATTATACATAGCGGTAAATTTCATACAGACTTATGCTAGTGAACAGGAACGAACAAACACATACGGGGGGGGGGGGGGGGGGGGGCAATTTCCACCTTCACCTGAGCCACTTTATATTGCAGACATAAAAATAAATAAATAGAGCTGCAAACAGTGTGCAGGCGCCACATCCATTGATCTGATCACCTTAAAAAGCACAAATGTAAACACTCATAGTAATAATGTGTTCATGTGTATTGCAGGGCCCCCACTGGCCAGACGACAATTTTTTCCTAATGAACTGTTGCAAAGTTAAAAACAAAAGAGTCATGAATAAAAGGACCAAGTCTGATTTTGTTAGACAGGGTCGTTACTATGATGCTGCCTTATTTTGCCACCAGTGTTAATTTGCTCTGATGGATTTAAAAAATTAAAAATGACATTTAGGCTGTTTTTATGTTTTGTTTTTTTGAATAGACCCTGGAGCTTGGGGTAAAAAAAGCAAGACTCCCCCCCCCTCCATATAAATCACCATAGGTTGCTTCAGCTCTGTGTGATTTAATTTTTTTTTTCCAAATAATGAGTGGATAAATTTTACTATACTGTTCTATGGGCTGTCACAGATTCCAAGAATACATGTTGGACAGGTAGAAGCAGCGCAGGTGGTCAGGCAATTCTGAGGGAATGTAAAGACATCTCTGCCTGAATTAGAGTACAAACGCCTGGCAGAAACAGAGCTCAAATATGTTGCAGCAGATACCCAAGTCACATGACCATAGCTACTTAGCCAAGTGGAAGTCTGATCCTTGTAAAGTAAGAGTCAGGAATCCCTCTGGAGTACAAGCAGTAATGGCATAGTCAAATAGGCCTTCGTCTTTTAAATAATACACGCTTCGCATCACGGCTATATTATGCGAAACCATCTCATATTTCACATTATTTGATGCTGATAATCTGAACACGAGTAATAACCCTTTGCTAAGCATAGGAGAAATTTCACACCTTTTTACCATCTTCAAATCTGAAAGGCAGAACCAACTTATGACTGAGGAGTGCTTCTGGCATTAAATGAAAAGCTCCTTTTAGGCCACTAAAAGCTTTGCTGGTCCAGGGCACGCTAGGAAAACTAGGAAATCACTGCGACGTGGACTTTTCCCCCCCCCTCCCGAATAGACAACCATGAAAGGTGCATCATAACTGAAGAAGAAGTGAAAAACTGACCATGCTGACCGATTTTGTTACAGAATCTTTAAACCCTCTGCAGTACAATGCAAAAAGTAATGGCGAGTTCCCGGATTACGTGCATTACTTCAGTGAAGGCGATGAAATCCGACTGGAGTCACACCTGAAATTGTCAATAGCACTCTGCAGCTTCCTGCTGAGCACTTACTGCAAGAAGACAGTGCGGGAGCAGACGATATCTCGCCGTTAAATATTTACATCGTCTCCCACAGTGTGCTCAGGCATGATACACAACCTGAATCCAGCCATATTTTTCTCTCTCACATGCTGCAGGGAGAATTTCTTAAGGCTGCAAATGGATATGAATATGAAAAGAATAAGACACTGAAAGAACAAGAATCCTTTGTGATGGGTGGCTTGAAAAATTGATGTGGTACTCAAAGCTGGGCCCTTACTCAAGAGGTTCAGAGCAGATTAAAAGAAGTTTGCCAGTGAGACAGTTGCCCACTAAAGTGCATCACTCAGCTTGTTGACTGGACAATTTTTACATGCCCGCTCATGACTGAGCAGCAAATCAAACAACCTAATATCTACATCACTCCAGCATGACAGCTAGGACTAAAATTACATAAAACAAGATTTAGAAATGCGTGATTGTCAGCTGTTGTGGCTGTACACATGACAGTACTTCCTTCACTTTCTCCCTGGTCCACCCCGCTGTGCAAAACAAGCTACAGTCAACAACATGAATAATGCAGTTCTCCTCAAGAGTCCTGCTGAAGCACGTCAGCCTGCGTGACTGAGAACTGAACCACTCATTTCCTTGGCTGGGAGAAACAACACTGCATTCGTCCAAAAACAGAGCTCTTCACTGCTCTGTCGCTTTGCAGAGCTATATCTATATATATCTATATATCTCTATATATCTCTATATCTAGATAGATAGATAGATAGATAGATAGATAGATAGATAGATAGATAGATAGATATAGCCACACACCCCTTTTCTGGGTCACTTGTAAATTAGTTGGCGGTGCCAAGTGAAGTAATACCTAGGTATAATCTGCCCTGCAGTGGGAGTTACCTTAAACTAGATAGTCTGCAAGGAGTGAGGTCCAGAGATGGCTCAAGAGTGCGATACACACTTAAGACAAGGGCTTGAGACAGACTGATTTGTTGCTCATGAAGGATAGAGACCAAAAAAGCAAGCTGATTATTCAGAGATTAAGATATTTGCATGAAAATACGAGATGAGCCATTGTCTCGTCTTAGCATAAAGGGGGGCAGGGGCAAAGCTAAAAGTGTTCCAGTGGATGAAAACAGTGAACAATGGAGCTGTAAAATAGAGCACAATACACTATGTATGTGGACAGTAATACATTGTGGTTGACAGTGCTGGGGAGCCTTTAAACACACATGCACTACTGTTATAAGTGGGCAGATGGACCGACAGCCGCCTTCTGGAGCACTGGGGTCATTCAGGGAGATAAGTGACTTCATCCCAGTTGTCAGCAGCACTGCACCCCACCTGACAATGACTTATGTACTAATTAGGGGAGCTTCACCAAGTGTACAGAAGCAGACTACTGCAGAGCAAACAAAGCTGTGAAGCAGATAAACCTCAAGAGACGGAGAGGAAAAAGAAAAGAAAAAAAATACAACAGTAGTTTTACAATCACTGAAAGGCTAGAAATGGGACACAGACAGAAATGGGACATTCAAAGCACGTCAATATATCATTAAAATAAATTTCGAATATTATATGAACATTAGACTACAGCCAATCAAACTTAAAACTTACTCCTGTAGTTACACTAATTTATATACAACCACAATAAAAGCATTTGTTTTCAGTACTGAAAACTGACTAGGAAATAAGAAGCTTGCTGTAAACTGTTACTGTTTGACATCTGACACCTCGCTGAGTGCAGCGCAATGCAACGGCCTCATATGGGGAAAAGTTTCCAACTACTGTGGCGACTTATTAGATTCACTGCGAAGCCTATGTATTTAAAAAAGAAAAAAACCCACTGCAGTGTCCCACACCTTCAACAGCATAGCGGTGTAACCGCTTTATCTGATAACTTATTGTGCTAAATGACACAACAAAGAGATACACGCAAGCTAGCAGCAAGATCGTATGTCATGGGTTGACTGTCGGAATCTAGCTAGCTTAGCTGGCTAATGCTAGCGAGCCACAAAAATTTGAGTTAACACCAAGAACCTAGATAAACACTGATTTTCACAATGCCGCAGATCCGAATAAACAAGATGATATATGCTGTAATTAATCATCCTAATGACGCTAGTAAATATAAGCATATTCAGTAGAAAATAACTTAAAGTTTGGAAACTGCTCTTAACTAGAGTGCTAGCTCGGCTAGCTTAGCATTTACCTTGTCAGAGTCGAGCTCGGGGTCAGCTTGGCTCAGTCTGTACAGAAATGATTTTGGGTCTCGACACAGCGTCTGTCTCGTAGTTAAAAAATAGGTTCCCCCGACATTTAGTCGAATCCATTTTGAAGCCCCGACCCCAGCTGAAACGTTTCGCTCCGCCGAAGAATGGCCCAAACATCTCCGGTGAACGGAGCCGCTTGTCTCGGAGCTGTTCTCTGCCATTCCTCTCCTCGCCTCCTCCGCCCTCGGCTCGGCACGGCTCTGGCTGTGCGGCTCACAGGAAATATCGGAGGTGCAGCCACAAACTTCGAGTCCGCGATTCATGCAAAGCAAACTGCCAGCTCCTCAGTTCAGCCACTCCTACTAACCCACTCCACCAGCACTAACAGACACTTGCATAAATTATTCCAGAGAAAAGAGGCCCTCCCCGGCTTGATCTCTGACGCGTCAGCATGGAGAACAAAATCTCTTGATACGGAGAGCCTGTAAATATCATTGTGAGTGAAAATGCACATCTTTGGAACTGAGGTGGAAAAAATAAATCTTAGATTTCGTGTACTCCTATGGTTGTCACTGAATACTTAAAGTATTTACACAAGCTTGTCAAGTTAGCACTAAAGCGCGTTAAAGTAATTTTCAGGACACAAAAACAGTGATAATGAGCCGGTACTTTATTTACATGCTGCAAAATGTGAGATGCCATTGCCACTGAATGATGCGGTTTCTTGACTGTCATGACCCAGGCTGTTGACAGAAGACAGGACACATGGCTTTATTGGTATGCCTAAATCCCTACATGCTTTAATTACTGGACTACCAAGCATTAAGTGGAAAATTCATCATTCAACATCTACTGACCTAGCGCACAAATAATCAGAGAGAATGAACAGATTCATTAAATTATCAGAATATGATTAAATCACTGAGCAAATAGAAAATGTATGATATAGTAAGAAAAAAGCTGTAAAATATTATAGTTTACAATAATTATTCACATTCAAAGGCTTTACATCTCAATACATACACAACATGGCCCCTGAACATGACTTCAATCCAAATATGATTCATATATTAGAATTTAAATAACACAGAATGAACTATAGGCTAAACAATAGCCATCAAATAACCTTATACAAGAATAAAAATACAAAAACTGTATCCTAATATCATTGCATTACTTGCTTCAGATTTTAATAATACATCATCTGTACATCACAGTTCTAGTCAGTTACAAGCCAGGTAGAGCTTCTACATACAATGTAACCGACTGCCATCGACTTGATTCAAACAATTTTTCTAACTAGAAGGGAAAACACTTCTCGTGCTTCCTCAACTTTATAGACAGATACAGCAATTTCATCGGTTATTTGGATGAGATAGATATTCTTTGACTGACATCCAACCACATCTGGCCCTGGGCCAGAGGGTCCCCAGTCACACACTGCACATACAGACTCAGCTGAAGGAAGAGGACCTTTGGAAAGACCGTAAGGTACTATGACAAAAAAAATTAAAAGCATTATGATAATACATATTTCTAAAACAAGAGCACAAGTTAAATCAATCGGTTTAATTTCTATTGGGCCAAACATCAGAATGAAAAAAAAAATTAAAAAAAAAAAAGTTAAAAATAGGCCAATGAGCCCAATGAGGCAGTTTTGCCATATTGTCCAGGGACAACAGCTTTACTGTGATTGCTTCTGAAAATGATAGTATGTGTATGCATCTCTGTTGATGATGGTGGTTTTCTGTTCAGCATGGGGTGGTCAGCACATAAGATTTTGTTTTGAATAGGGCATACTGAAGATGAGTGAACTATTCCACCAAATAAAAAAACCCAAAGAAAAATAAAAAAAATTAAGAACTCACACCACAAAAGAAATAGCCAGTGAATGGTACAGAACAACCAAATCATTCAACAATAGTCTCTATGGTTTCCAATGCAGTCAAAAATACCCACCTTTACTTGAATAAACTTTATCTCCAGTGCCCTAGGAGAGAAGCGGACAAGGCTGAGCTACAAAAACTGGCCATGCAGGAAAGATAAGCAAGTTATGATTAGGAAGTACAAGCTAGTGGCATGTTTACCCACCCCCCTGTTAGCAAAACATCCTCGGCTATGGAAGGCTCATACTTATACAGAGACTGGTTCAGACCCACGTCTCACTGCAGACCGGCACTCTGCATTATTATATAGAGACCTTAACTGCAATAAGCAAAGTACCGAGAGACTAAAAAAAAAACAACTCAAATACCGAGGGAAATATTTGGGTTCTGACAAAAATAGAGAGGATCTGAGTTTGGTAAACGTGTGAGACTGAACCATTTTACAGTATCTATAGAGTATATGCACTAAAAGTGGGGCTTGACTACAGCTTGCACATACAATGTAGGATTAGGATATGGTTTAATAAAGATATCATGAGAGGCGCTGGTCCACAAAAGCAAGATTTTGTGTCATCATCGAAGCAGGAAACCAGTCCTTGCGTTTGAGATAGTCGCAGCGGTACCCAACTTGTCACTCTACAAGACAAAGCTTGTCCTCCTCCCCCCCTTGCCCACCCCCGCAGAATGTACAAAAAGCAGATGTGCATGGTGGAAGTCTTATCATCCATACATGGAAAAATGCAATAGAAGCCTCACAGAGAGCACAAAGAACAAGCAAAGCAACCCTAAATCCAAAGTTGTATTTTTCCCATGGTTCTACTCAGGAAAACAAACAAGGTCTAGATGCCAGCGTCTCTAAGAGTTTGTTTACATTGCGGTGATGAAGGGCACTAAAGAGGGTGTTACTCTGCTCAGTGATTGGCCTCAGAGCTAAAGAGGAGTGGGCACAGGGTGAACCTGTGCTCCTATAGGCCAGGGTTTTGGTGCCTTTGATAGATCTTTCTCCACACTTCCTGGATCTTCTTACACCATCTGTCTGCATTCCCGCTGGGGTCCATCAAATAGTATGTCCGGTTAGGCTGCAAACATCATAGGAAAAACATTTACATATTTTTTTAATTTATTTTATATAAAACTGAAGGAAAATATTAAGATCTGTCAAAAAGGCATCACAAATCAATAATTGTGTACCGTGTGAACAAAGAAGGTTTTGAAGTTCTTGGCCTCGGGGCGTAACTCTAAGGACCAAGGAATCTCCCCCTTCAGGACCCTGTTGACAGGATCCACGTAGTACAGGTGTGGTCCTTCAGTGAGAAGCAGCTGTCTCCGTCGGGCGAACAGACCCTGCAAAGGAATGCAAACATCTCATTGCTTCACCAACAGAGGGGGCTACGAGGCCAGTGACACTTTTGCACAGTACAACAGGGAATTCCCCTTTACTTCCCATTTGACAGCAGTGAAAAGCAAAGGGAAGTGACTTCACTGATCTGTAGCCAACTCAAACTGGAAAACTCCACAGAGTCTAGCTGGCAGAATAGTGTAAAGTACTAAAATATGTCTTTTTTTAAATACTGAAACAATGCAATAAAGTAATATTAAGGATTCAAATATATGCTGTAGAATTCACACACACACACACACACACCTTTCGTTTATCCACTGGGCCCATTTTCAGGATTAGGTTATTCTCCACAAACTGGTGCCTGTGTTGATACACAAAAACGCAAATGGTAACTACACAATTTTTTAAAAACAAAGTAACATAACTAACTGTTAATCCACATTTCTAAATCATTCACCAAAAATCTCTTACGGTTTCCAGTGCAGTGAAAAATATTTCCAGGATACAAGAAAGACATTGATTCAAAATTGGTTTTGATATACATCCAACAAAGAACAGCACATGACACAGACATTTTAACAGGGATGGAGAGATGGAAGGGGTTACCAGGGGTTTCCAGTGGTCTGTTTATCCAGCAATAACTGCTTCTCTTCTTCAGTGAACTGCAGGTCCAGCTCAAAGGAGTTGTTGTCCAGGTCGTGGATATACTGCTCAATGTTGCTGCTGGACCTCTGCGGCGGCGTCGAGTCATGTGGCGACAGGGAGTGTGATGAGCTGGACGGGGCCACCTGCATGTTGCTGAACTGGCTCAGGAGGTCATCGTACTGAGAGTCATAAAGAGACAGTGTCTCGTTATGAAAGGTGCATTGATGTTATGCTGATAATTTATGACTTGTTTACAGTTTGGATGAATCTCTAAGCTTCAACAAGGTCTCAAACCTGATGCTCTCTTTGAATGAGCAAACAACAGACCAAAACAAACAAAAAAACATACCAAGACTGTTACCATAGTAAAGTAAAATATCTTACATTTCCATAGCAGTCCTCATCATCTTCAGACATTGCTGGCAGGTAGGGTGTGAGCTTGGGAGGTGTCTGTAGGTGAAGGTCACTCCAGGAGATGGTGTCAAAGAAGGGGTGCTGCTTCAGTGGTTCGTACCCTCCCATCTCTTCACAGCCAAGCCGCTTGGTTGGGTCCAATGACTGAAATTTAAATAAAACGTAAATAGCCAACTTCTAAACAGGTAACTGATTAACTTATTTCCAAATTATTACCAAAGGAGGTTGAAATGTGTTATTGTGATATGCAATGACATACCAAAAGCCGTTCAACAAGATCCTTAGCTTTGGGGAAGAATTTCTCTGGGAATTCATACTCCAGCTTTATTATTTTCTGGAATATCAGGTACTCATTTCTACAGCAATTAAAGAGAAAAGAAAAAGTGTAACTAGTGAACATTGGTGTGTTTGGTTCAGATTTTTTGCACTTGAAAAAAACAATTAAGAAAAATTGAGTTTTGTAAACACAGTAGTTCTTACCCAGCTCTGAATGGTGGTAAACCAGCCACCAGCTGATAGATAATACATCCCAAGGCCCACAGGTCAGAGCTAAAAATTAAAAAGTAAACAGTTATAAAATTGCAGGAATGATGCCCACCCTGAGCTGAAAAACCTAATAAAAATCTCATTACCTCTTGCAGGCTGATTTCTCTGTTAGTAGCTCTGGAGACACATACTGCGCTGTTCCAACAAACGAGTTTGCTCTCGCTGCCAAAAAAACCCCCCAAACAAACAAACAAACAAAAGGGTAAAAAGACAAGTTCTCCTTTCTTAAACATGTTCTATGCAGCATGTATTAAATGCTTTTCTACTGTGCAAAAAGATTGTAATCTAACATAGGTGACAAGCTTGCAAGTTACTTCACCAGCTACAAAGATTGCATTGCTTTCAGCCATAATCAAACCACAGAACAAAGCTGATGTGTAACCGTCAACTGCTTTCTACAGTCAAAGCAAAAGCAGGGGCAGTTACCCAAGTTAGCTATAAGTCTGTTAGTAGCATGAACAAGTGAACTTTGTCAATATATTGGATTCACTCAGTGATATTAATAACAGCAGATTTCTGAAACTTATGCTCAGTCCCTTGAGGTCAG